GTTGTTAAGTGGGCCAGCCTAAACACCTACAGTTGGAAAAAAAAAAACTAGTTAAGTATCAATAATGTTATTCATATTATGTTTTTATACTATATCTTAGGTGGCATCTGATGTCGACAGAAAAATTTACAAAATCCAAGGAAATGAAGGAGAAAGACTTCTCGTATACCACAATCATCATTTAATTAACTAGTTTTTCTTAATTATTAGTTTATTAAATAATAAACTAAATTTAAAAATGTGATTAATTCAAATGATATCGCTATCCACATCAAATACCACATAAGATGGTATGAAAATGTGGTACAAAAACATAGTATGAATAGTATTACTTATTAAGTATACTTAATTAAGCTGGGTTTTATTAAGTTTGGTTAATCAGTAGGACTCAATTATTTTCTGGTTTTCTTTGCACATATTTCTACCACTGTCTTGTGAACAAAGTATAAAAGCCTAGAGGGTAAGGTACTGCATACGCCTACTCTACCTAATGACGTTGTCAGATGAATGGATATTTTTCACTAAATTTGTCCCTGTGCCGTTACTTTTAGGCATGAGAAAATTTTACATGTAATTGGACGATGAGCTGAGTTCGCAGTATCTGAAGTCTATCATCGGATGGTACGAGGACAAGTTAAAACACATAGCGTGTGATACACTTGTAATACAATTATTTTAACGTCTTAGTCGTATGTAAGTTTCTTTGATTGTAAATGGGTTGGCTGCAAGCGACTTTGCTTCTTAATTTGGATTGTGAATTGGAATTTTTGAACATCACAGAAAACTGATATTGACCTACAAACAAATTAGGTGTATAATGCGTTTTCGGTGATTAATCTTGGACAATACATTACGAGCACCTTTTTGGTTATTTATCGTCTAATTTTGATCCTGATAACCCTTCCACATTAAGGTAATCATCATCCATTCATCCGATAATTGTAGTGGAAATCCATCGTCTAATTTTGATCCTGATAACCCTTCCACATTAAGGTAATCATCATCCCTTCATCCGATAATTGTAGTGGAAATCCAACTTACATTAGTATTAACATTAATTAGGCTATTGTGGGCTGCTGAGGATGATGATTATCTAGTGATAATAAAACCAGAGATATCAACATCGTATGCTAAATTCTAGTAACCAACTGACATTGTCGTCTTTCATTTGATACGAATAGATAAGGTTCATTGTAGATCCGTATAGTGAAACAAATGAAACATCAGTTAGTAACTAATATTTAGTATAATAACGTTGGTGCTTCTAGTGCCACTAAAAAATAACTCTTAAAAACGATAATCGATGCGTTACATGTAAGCCTTGCTTTTGAAAATGTCAGCAATCATCAGCATATTGAAAATGAATTAATATTGGTCGTCTAATGTGACCATGCATATTGCATGGTAGTGGTAGAGATAGATAGCGTATATTAATCTAGTTTATCTTGTGCGAATTATGCACTAATAGTGTTCATACTTCATAATAACCTAACTTAAACTGTGGTATTTATTAATATAAAATTTAATCATGGAAGTAAAAGACAAGCAAGTAATGTGTTTATATCCTTGATTGGACCACCTCCTCCTAAATCCATTAGCTGGAAAATGGACCTTACCACCAATAATCCATGAGTGGAAGCTCTGATTGATTCCTCCTTATATTGTTTAGTGCTTAGCAGAAAGTTTGGAAGTGTAAAATTTGGCATTTGTAAGTATATCTTAAGTAGTAAAACATGAATTAATGGTTTGATGATGGATCTAGAACAAGATCATAAGGATTAAAAGTGCTAATTCGCATAGAGCCATCGAACCGGCTCAACTAGCAATCAGAGCTATATGCATTATATGGATAGCAATTAAAGAATCGAAATCATTCAATACGATAGTATAAACACAATACCAAAGCAAACCCTTGGAAATACTCCTTTATCAATGAAAAATGGGCACAAAATAACTTTATTGCATTGGAAAAAGTATGTTGTGGACCCTTTTTTAGTGGATTAAGCTAACATCCAGTTTCAAACCAATATAGAATTATGTGAAATTTATAAGATTCCAATGACGATGTATTTGGATCATAAGTATCAAATTGAGCTTATATCATTTCATGTCGCATTCGATGGAGTCCCCGTTTTGGCCGAAATGATTGACAACATGTGATCACAATGTGAACTTTGTTAATCAATTTGAAGTTGTGATTAGCAACGATTGTCAAGATTTTCAGATAATCTAAACAACGGTCTATTATTTATTACACCATCATTATTTCAACTTGCATTTAATCACCTACTAGAACAACACGGTGTGAGAACAATTAATTTATCGATTGTCATTTGTTTTGCCATATTTCCGACGTAAGATCGTTACAATAATGTTCAACAATGATATATCGTGTTAAAGCAAGCAATAGTTTTTTTTTTTCTTTTTTCTTTAGTACAAGCAAGAAATTTGTTATTGAGTTGTGAAAGAAAGAATCACCGATCTAGCTAGGTTGCTTACGGAATCTTACTTTTGCGGCCCCCTCCATTGTTTTTGCCTGCTTCTGATTGTCCCCATCGGATCTCTATCAATCAATTGGCATCTAGTTTCTGCTAATTATTTGCGCTATAAACCCTAAAATTAACTTTAAATTAATGGACTTCTTCTAAATTTCCCTTGTAATTTAAAACCGTCTACGTGCATTCTGTAAACGTAATTAAGAGCTTAATCACATATGATAATCTAGATGCAAAAAGCTTACCGGAAACCGGTTGGCGATGCGTGCATGCATGAAGCAACTGCTACATGCATAATTAACAGTTATGTAATTTGTTGCTGAAATGTCATTTTCTCTCCCACCCAATGACTCCAAATAATTAATTAATTAGAAGATTAGAAGGTGGTCTTAATTAGTCGCTTATGTATGTTGCATTGTCTATTATCTGATTAGAACACACAACCATCAGTCTTCATAAACTCTCTCTCTCTCTCTCTCTCTCAATAATTAGCATCATATATTTGTTAATTCTATCAGCATAGAGAGTAATTTTGTTCATCATTGATAGTAATATATACACACACACACATATATATATATGCATATATTTATTTTGAAAAAAGGGGGACAACTGGTGGCAAACTACGGTTATCCACTTATATTGGGGTTGGAGGAGGTTAGTTGGGAATTACACGTTACTCGTGACAGCGATCAAGCAGATTCACAGCTTATAAATTATCGAACCCTCCCTTTTTTGTTTAGAGAGTTGCTTTTTGCACTTTTCTACTGGACCACTTGATATTCTACTTAATTAATATGTATTAGCATTTGCCTACATACTTTGTGTGCATGAACATATTTTTTTAGAAAATAAGAAGGAAAGTAGGAGAGAGAGAACGTGGGGGGAGTGTGAGGTATTTGTTTTTTGTTTTTGTTTTTGTTTTTATTTTTATTTTTAATATTGAAGGTATTTTAACATCATCTGTAGGTGAAGTTTCAATAAAAAATAGTAAAATTTGGACGTATGAAATTACATTATTGCTCATCATTTTTTTTGTGATAGAAGATTAATTTGTCTTTTCATCCTCTTTTGATTGACAAAAAAAGTTTAATTAATTAGTAGATATATGATATTTTTGAAATTAACTCACTCCAGTGCATGCTCTTTTGCCGGAGGATTGGTGTCGCTCTAGGGCATCTCAACCTCAAACATTATATGGGACCATCAGCTCGTTGGTTCGCATTCTTTTTCTTTGGGGTTTTCTTCAAACCAGCGAGGCAAACTGGAAACAACCGACTAATTTATCGGGATTCAAGACCCCATGATTATTTTGCCTTTGTCTTTTAGCTCAACAAACCTTTTCTTATTGTTATTTTAGACCAAGTATAGCTTTTGATTGGGACCATGAATATAAAATCTTCATGTAGAAACATACAGAAACCCTAACTGTGGGCTCCAGCATTATACAGTCGGTCCGGTTCGGCTTGCGTTCAACAGGAAGTTTCCAACGCCCGACCTCACTCGCTACAGTCCGTACCATTATATGGTCACGGTGAGTACACAGGTATTAATTCCATCAAAATTTTCCTCTCATGTCCCACGCAGATAACAACTCATACAAAAAAGTATTATACATGGACAAATGTCTTCGGATTTTTGTCCAAGGCATTTGTCAATCAAGAAACTACTGTACGGACAAATGTCTTTGACAAAAATCCAAAGACATTTGTCTATGTATAATAATTTTTTGTATGAGTTGTTATATGTGTGGGACATGAGAGGAAAATTTTGATGGAATTAGAACTCGTGTACTCGTCCTGATCATTTAATGGCATGAACTGTAGCGAACGAGGTCGAGTGTTGGAAGCTTCCTGTTGAAACACAAATTGTGTGGAAACTACCGAGACTGTAAAACTTGCCTGGCTATTTCCTGATACAAATGATAATTTACTTTAAACTAAAGTGAGTGGATAAAGATTTGAACTCAAATGCATAACACAATACCCATACTTGCATGTTTAGATATTGATTTTTAAAATATGTATCTAACTTATTCAGATTTTTTTCTAGTACACATTACTAAATACGCACCTGAATAATAACCGTTAGATTGAAATTGACGGACATGATGAATTATTTCGTTTATACTTGCAACCGAGTAAAAAAACCCTTTTTTCTTTTCTTTTTATTTTTGACAGGAAAAAAAAAATTTCCCCTTGCAACAAGGATTTGCAGGATGTAAAGCTCAGAAAACACAATTTTGCTATAATACGTGTCATGAATTCAATTCACGTCCATGGTGGCAGTGGTGGGGGCGGCAAGAAATGGTGGCATTTCTGGGAGCCGCCGCGAGCAGACCCAAAATTAGGTTGGTGATTTAGAGGGTTCAACTGTTGGTGGATATTTGAAGTCCAGTTTCAAAACACATAAATCTCAATCTGAGTTTTAGGCTTTTGACCAGGAAAGGATTTTTTTTTGTTCCTGGAACCAACCAGGGTGTTGTCAGAAACTCAGATTGGAAATGAGCAGGGCCCAGGGGATGGGGAAGGGAGAGGGGAATGAGAACTCCAGGTGTCGGGTTGTAACTCTTCTACTGGGTCACTAGAACCCATTTGTAACTTGAGCTACAGTTCCATATTAGCCGTTGAGATTCATCTAACGGCTAACAAAAAAATGTGTACTTCGGCCATGTACACTACAGAAGCCCTCCTAATTTGTCGCCTTAACCCGACCCAATTGCCCTCTTAGTTCTTATCTTTCAGGCCCATACATCTCGGTTTCTTTTTCTAAGAAAAGCCCAAACTCTCCGTTCTTGTTCGTTTTCAACCTCTAGGAAAGAAAAGGAATGGACCATATACTACTAGGCCCAATACAAGTATTGGCATAAAGTTCCAGAAGCAGAATTATAATGCAGCAACTTTGAAGCCTTGTGGTCATGCAAATCGCCATCACCACCAGAATCAAGCTGGCACCAGTCATCGTAATCACGCAGACCTGCAACCGTACCCTCCCCCCTCTGGCCAATCTGCTGTGCAACTCTTAGAAACCCATGCCCTATGATACACAATACGCCTTATAAATCTAAGGAACCTACCTCATTTCGTTAGGGTCTTCGATTAAAGCCCTCTCTGCTGCAGTGACGATCAAGGCCCTTCACAGTTTGTAAAGAGGAAGACTAAAACGTCATAGAACTCAGCGGTGAGCTCTCTTCTCTCTCACTCATTCTCTCTCTCCCTTTGCAATACTAATCTTTGGTATATTTTGCCTTTTGAAGGTACGATTGTATAGGAAGAAGTCATGGCAAGGAGCAATGCAGTTTCATGGAGCCTCATTTTCTTGGCTATGGGGTTTTTTAGTTATGTAGCTGTTGAAGCCACCAGAGAAGGGATTCAAAGGAGGGCTCTGATAGACAAGAGACTTGGTTTGGAACATGGGATAAAGAATTGGCATGGTGAGGAGGCTACTTCTTCTCGAGGGCTGAAAGCTGATGGTTACGGAGGTTATGGCTCTGGTGGTGGTGGGGGCTTTGGTGGTGATAGTGGCGGTGGTACGGGGTATGATGGTAATGGTGGTGGATTTGGTAATGGTGGCGGATTTGGTAATGGCAGTGGAGGAGATGGCGGAATTGGGGCAGGCACAGGCCCAGGTTATGGTGGCGGGGTGGGTGGTCATGACGAGAAGATGAACAAGGTCCATGGAAATATTCAGTGATTTTACTAGAATAAGATAAAATAACTATTTTCCAATTTAGTATGGCTATGGTGACAAGAAGCAAGAAAAAACAAATAAGTCGTAGTTCTCTTCTGCAATTCAAAGGTGTTTCCCCCTTGTACCGGTAATATAGCGGTTACATGTAATAAAGTTAGCTTGGTTTGTATACAAAGTGTGTTGTTTCACTTAAACAGAGAAAGATGAATAGTTTGGTTTGCATACAAGGTGTGTTGTTCCACTTAAACAGAAAAAGATAAAGGGCAGGAAGAACAGATGTTACACACCTCACAGTGCTCACACAGTTCAGAACTTGAATAAACTATGCTGACTGCACAAAAACGAAATTTACATGCCACCAATTGTGTGACCAACAACAGCAATGACATAATTCGAAGCCTAAATTGCAGAAGAAAAAAAATCAACTAAAAATGTTGTAAAAAGTATATATGTCAATAATTTAACTTCAACCGCAAGGAAATGACAGTGCCAAGTAACAGAGACAAATCTCATCCATGCATAACGTAATATGTACTGGGAACTAAGAAATGACCCTGTTCTTGGAGGGGTTAAGGAGTCAAATAGAATATTGGAGGCGTTAAAGAGTCAGTATGCAGTTCTCGGACTATTGGCAAACGACTCCCTTGCGTGTATGGTGGTGTATATAGAAGGGAAGAAACAACAAATGTTTTGAGAATAGCACCTGCGGTTAGGAAGATCAAGATGCAGAACAATGCTGTCATTTCAATGTAATGTCGAGTTCATAAAGCTACAATGGATGTTAAGATTCCTTATCATCGAATGTACGAATGATGCTAAGTCCGCATGACTCGTGAAGAACTAGGAACTACAAGATAAGAAAAGCAAGACAAGGGATAAATCCAAACGATATTAAGAAGCAATTAGCTGGAGCATTTTAAAGCATATGGCAAACTACAAAGTCTAAACAATCCAAGCCCAAGTAACATTTGGATAAATCAATCTAAACCATAACAACGGGATTATCAGTCGAAGACAGTACAAACAGAAAAATGTGTCTTCAGAAACAATGCAAATGAAATGTGTGTTGCTAATAAGACTAATTTCGTCACGCAGATCACCAACACTATAAGAAACAACAACATGAATACGCTCTCATATTTCATTTCACACACATTGCCATTTTATCCTTGTTTTTTCGGAATTTCCGCCCCTAATTAGTGCGATAAGGCATTGTTGTTGTTGATAATGGTGTTTTAGATATCTTGGTTGTATTTCCATTAATCTTCCAGAATTGAGACAAGTGAAAACAAGTACAAAGATATGGATAGCTACACAAATTAATTATATTAACAGAGGGAGAGAGATAATAGAAAGTCTAGTACCACTTGCCACACTCTCAACAGTTGAGAGCCGTTGGATACCTGCACATACATGGCCACCGACCTTCGCCAACCGATCAATCGTGTCCCTCAGATCTCACCGCCGCAGCATATTCGTCATCCAGCTCACTCTTCTCAATCCCTTCCCAATCATCCTCGTCGCTGAAATTTCCCGATTTAAACTCACTGGCCGCCACGTGTGTCTTCTCCTTAGCTTCATCGGAATCCGCAACCCTAACCTCCTCCGATTGATCGGCAACGACTTCGTTTCCTGCTGATTTCGCGCCAATTTCTTCCACTTCGCTGTTATCCGAGCTTCCGCGATCAAACTCTATCGCTTTCTCCACCGACAGCTTGTCCCCGCCATCCGACGACTTCTCCGGCAATCCAACCGCTGCTGACGACTTCTCCGGCAATCCAACCGCTGCTGACGACTTCTCCGGCAATCCAACCGCTGCTGACGACTTCTCCGGCAATCCAACCGCCGCTGATGACTTCTCAGGCAATCCAACCGCTGCTGACGACTTCTCCGGCAATCCAACCGCCCCTAACGACTTCTCCGGCAATCTAACCTCCACCGACTCTTCCTCCAACACCTCCTCTGGCAATCCGCGGCCTTTTCGACGATCCTGCAGTGGCTCTGCAATCTCCTCAGCCCGATGAACCGTTTCCCCTTCGAATCGAACGACATTCAATTCTCCAACAAAGTCCACGCTCCTCTGACTCTGACAGCGAAAAGCACCTTCCACTTTCAGCCTCCTCTCTTCGAAGCTGACCTCCTCCGCACCAACTCTTTCACCGCCAGCATCCCCACGCTCCCCGAACTCCGCCTCAGATTCCCGGCCAGCAACCGCCATGGCGACAAGCTTGGCGACGAGGAACGAGAGGATCAGAGCCAGCGACGCCGTCAGAAACAGGTCCTGGACGAGCTCCATGGTGATTAATTACTAGAGTCCAAAATTCTGCAAACAGAGAAATGAAATCGAAGGATGAAAACAAAGGGAGATTAAAAGCGATTGGGCGATGAGTTTTAAAAAGTTAATTAATAGTAATAAGTCATGGACTCATAGGTGAGCAAAGGGAAAGGGATATTTGCAGAGCAGAGCGAAGCATATTCTGATGTTTTATTATTGCTTTCTTCGCTGCTTTGCCCCCGCCTCACTTTTTCTGACGGACACGTTTCCGCTACCTATTGGACGTGGTCAAATTGTCCATGCATTTACAGTCCTTGTGAAGCTACTTCTAACGACCCTGCACCGTTTCGGACCAATAATACGAGTTATAACTTTCTTACTTAGTTAATAATTGGTTTGATATATAGTTATTTTGATATTCGCATCTTATACACGTCTTTCTTGTGAAGTAAGAAAAAAAATTTAGATTAATTGTTTAGTCAGTTTGATAAGACGTTAACAAATGTATTAATATGGCATCAAAAATCATGTAACTAATAGTATTGTTGATGTAACAACCCGTTCCAAATTTTACGTTTTTATTTTATTTTAAAAGCGTGAATTTATGAAATTGCCCTAGAGGCAAGGACTTTGACTTCTGTTGACCATCGACTTGAAAGATGTGGGACTTATTCTTTTAGCATATCCTCGTAGTACTCATTGGTACGAACGTATAGGCGAAAGCCATTTGTGAGTCCGGATTATAACGGTATAGTTACGGACGTTCGAAATTGGTTATTCAAGGTTAGTCTGCATTTAAATTAAATCCCCACTTTGTGGGGGGAAGCCCAATCAGAAAGAAAGAAGAAAAAAAAAGAAAAAAAAAAAAAAAAAAAAAAAACTGGGGAAAAGCTTCCCGTGCACCCATACCCGCACCCACCGCGGGTTCATTTTCCAAGGCCGATTCCGGCCAACTCCGGTGGAGTTTTTCGATGCCACCACCACCATCTTGAAGCTCTCATTCCCCTCTACAAAACCCACCCAAGAACCACCTTGATTAACCACAGGATGTGGAGGTTTGAGGCCACGAAAGTTGACAAAAATCAATGGTGCTCCGGCCACCCTTCTCCATTTTCCGGCAAATCGGCAAAGCGATGGGCGATGCCACCACTTGGGCTTTATAGCCCATCATCCCAGGAGCAAAACCCAACCAACCTTGACCCCGTTGGACCACCGTAGACGACGAATCGACGTCGGGAAGTTTTAGGCACCCGCCGGCTTCGTGGGCAAAATTGACCATCTTTCGTCCACTTTTGGACTTCGTGGCAGGGACCAATCATTCAGGATGTCTCGATGCACGTGCTAGAGAAGTATAGCGTGGACTCCAGGTGAGTGGATCTTTTCCTTTTTATTGTGCATATTATTGAGAGTTCTATCGACACTTTTAAATTGATTAGGTATATTTCCTTCATATAATTATTGTGAATGCTTGAAGTACCTATATGAACTACGAATAGCTTGATCCCTATTTAGGGTACGTAGGCAGTCTAACGAGACGTTAGATGCAGCCATAAAATATTTGAGACAAAAGTCCTGCTTGGGAAATTGAGTAATGCGAAGGAAATTGGTAAAGACAAGTTTTAGTATTGTGAATTAGTTAGTTAAATTAGAGTTAATTGGATTGTTATGGATAATTATCCCTGAAAATAAGTAGTTTGGAAGTAGAGCGTTATTGATTGTACACTTCACACCATATTGTTTATAATTGAAAATGCTACGACATGGTTGAATAGTAGATTGCATCATGATATATCCATATGTATATTACTTGCATATAATTATTGGGAATGCTTTCAAGTGCAAAGGTGAACTCAGGACACCCAAGTAAGTTCAGGGGAGTTTATGGTATTAATTGAATCGATTGAGTTATAGCATGACTACAGTTATGAGTTAGGCAACTTCGATACTGTCGTACTGGTTGCCATGAGTTGCACATGTTATATTGAGATGCATTGAGAGCTCATAAACATGCACCCCGGTGTTAGTGCTCCCGCCCGTGGCCAGGGCACAGTCCTTCACGTGATGTTCACCTCCCGCACCTTATGCTCACCTTGGATTCAAGGTAGGTGCACAGTCCTGTTGTACAGACCACTTTAGGTGGTTCCGACTCGTAGGTGACCCGCGATTATTCGCCCAGCCTTCACATGATCGTAGCACTTGAGCGTACTTATTTACACCCAGTCCTGTCGTACATACCACTTTAGGTGGTTCCGACTTGTGTGCAGGTATACTTATTGAGCTATGGGCTAGCCAGGATTGATGAGATATGGATAAGTCGTACAGGTCACTATAGGTGACTCCGACTTATATGCTAGCCCTGATTGATGAGATATGGATAAGTTGTATATGTCATTTTAGATGACTCTGACTGATATATCACTTTGTATTGATTTAGTTCATTTGGCCTACTTATTAATGTATGGTGGATTTGATGGCAAACCGTGGTTTTGGTCATTTCCGAGTATGGTTTAGATATATGTATATATGTTGTACTATCTTATGGAAAACGATACGGGTTTTACATTTAGGGGCATTACTTTTAGAGAGGTAGTAACTTTGGGAAGCTTGGTTTTATTGCTTACTCACACCTTGTGTTTGGTGCCCTCCAGGTTTTAGCTGCTGAGTTTATATCGACAAGAATCTGTGGCGAATCTTAGTATTGATGGATATTTTGAGGGTATGATTCTTACCCACATTACTGTACCTTACTTATGCTCTGACATCGCGTGTGAAATGGGTTCGCTCCCACTCGTAGCGCACTTTGGTATTTTAGACACTTTTGGATTCAAATTCATTCACTTTTTATACACTATCATATTTTATAGCTTCGTCACCTTCCTGGTGTCGGCCAGCACAGCTCGATTAGGGTCCAAGTGGACTTTCTGGGTCGGGGTGTGTCAGTTGATATAGACAACATATTCATAAAAAAATTTAGAGAATTATTATTAGCATTTTTAAATTTCAAATGCACTTTTTAAAAGTGTTTTTGTTTTTTTTAATATAGAAAGCTTAGAATGCCAAATACCAATAACAATTTTGTTTATTATTAAATAATATAAAATTAAAACTATAAGATACCATAATGTTTTAATATGCGTATTGATATTGTTTGACAAAAATAAAAAATAAAGAAAAAAAACTCTCGTAGAGCTTAAACTTTTTGGGAGGTCAAATTTGCCTTTTTAGCGATGCGTTTTCGTTCTTATCCTACCCCATGCATGTGGGACGGTGGCGCTGAGCGATCGGTGGGTATTTGGAGGTTTGAATAACAGTTGTTGGAGTCATGTGAATTGTTGCTGCGCCTTTTTATCTTCGGCACAAGTCGTGGTCAGCTTGGTGGACTTAGGATTTCGACCTATGGGAGGGGAAGGGCACACACTCACTCAAAGAATCAGGGTCTTTCTCACTTTTTTCGACTTTACTTTTGGGACTCAAGGAATCAGCCAATCGGATCATTAAGGTGGGGCTCTCTTGGGCTTTATAACTTGGGCCTTCTTTTGAGAGAGCAAAGTCTGGCTAAGAGATGGGTTCTATCGGGTCAAGCTGTGAAGTGATGAGTTAGGATTTGTTAATTGGTGATCAAGTGCCAAAAATTAGGTTGTGTCCGACGAGATGGTCAATAGGTATTCATTTAGTTAAATGAAGGTTAATTTATGTGTAAATATATGTTACTTGTGGCAATGAGTGGTGATGTTTGTGCTTGTGATGTTGATAATGGTGATATATGGAGTATGCAGGGACACCCGCAATAAAATTGTTAATGTGCATGGTTGAGGTGAGGTTACAATGGATGCTTGAGCGATTTTTCGTTCCTTCTCCCTCTTGAGTGGCATGGGACCTACCATATCTAGGAGAGATTTATCGTTCCTTCTCTCTTTAATGGATGCTTGAGTAATTTATCTTTCCTTCTCTCTCTTGCTTGGCATGGGACCTACCATATATAGGAGAGACTTATTGTTCCTTCTCGCTCTTGAATGGATGCTTGAGCGATTTATAGTTCATTCTCTCTCTTGGGTAGCATGGAACCTATCATATATAGGAGAGATTTTTCAGCGTGCCCAAAATACGGACACACAAAGAAAAAAATTTCTCCACTTGTATAATAAAGTATAACATACCAACTTGTGTTACAGACACATTAAAACCTCTAACGGTGTATCTATCTACAAGTATACATAGGCACTGCAATTTGTTGTGAGCTCCAGCTGTACAAGTATACATCACCAGCGGCATAGCACTACGTGTGGTATAAATTTGATTGTTTTTTTACAAGCAAACGATAGGGTGAATTGAACTAAAAAAAGACGATAGGGTGAATTCATTTGTCAAGAGATTGTAAATGAAACATTTTAAAGATTATGGTGAAAACAAACTGTTTGGTCGGTGCAGCATGAACAAAAACTTTCTTACACTTATGTGTCCCTTTCATCATCTCAACTTCTTGGCCATTCTTAAAACTAAAAACATTCTTCTTATTCTAGCAGCAGCATTAATCCTGTCCTAGAATCATTCAGAGACCAAGAAGAAGAAGAAGAAGCCATGGGAGGAGGCAACGGACAGAAGTCGAAGATGGCTCGCCAGAGGAACATGGAGAAGCAAAAAAATGCTGCCAAAGGTACTCATCATCCGTCCCATCTTCTCAGTTGGGGTTTTTTCAGAAACTAAATTGTGAATATATGGTCCATTTATATGAATCAAGAGAGGTGAAGTTGTGATGAATTCATCTTAGAATTCGATTTCTTTCTATTCTCTAACCCATATTCTAGGCCACAAAACTGAAATATAGCTTCAGAAAGAGGGAATATATGAGTTAGTAACCGATTTGTGTATCTCTTGACACGCAGGCAGCCAGCTTGAATCAAACAAGAAATCAATGACAATTCAGGTAAATGAAGCTAATTGGCACCGAAATTTCATTCTAGTTTGAGGATTTGCGTTGTTTCTGACGCGAGGTACTGACTCATGATTGCAGTGCAAGGTGTGTATGCAAGTGTTTATTTGCACCACGAGCGAGGTGAAGTGCAGGGAGCATGCAGAAGCAAAACATCCCAAATCTGATGTGTACACATGTTTCCCTCATCTTCAAAAATGAAAAGTTCTTGACCCAAGAAGAATAAATTGTAGAAATGTGTGTGAAGTTCAATGTGGAGGTTCTGCATAAAGATCATTTCTAGACTCTTGGATGTTAATTAGCTGAAAGCTAGGGGAATATGTTATAAAAGTGCTTGTTTGTTGGTTGATTGAAGATTGTTTCTGGAATTTCGATTGTTGTTTTAGCATGCATATGGACCAACATAATCCGAAATCTAAAATATGCAAACCAAAGAAAACAGGTTTTGAGTGAACATCACAATTATGTGCTCGTAAAAGAAGAATATCGTCATTAAAATTTCAAATAATGAATGTAATGAACAACCTAAGTTAGGTAAATATTTTCCTTCGGTGATCATTCACAGGCTACATGGAAAGACAGCGGATAAAAGTATTTTTTACCAAAGGATTTAGTTGGAGTCTGGTGTTACTGCGTCCGTATCCAGCTATTTTCTGCACTTCTCACTTGGGAGAAGCATGCATGATCCTGAAACATGGAATACGTGAACCTATTATTTTTCAAGTATAACGATAGACACTGAGCATGTGCAAAATTTGAAGGTACCCGATGGTGACAATTTTGTTTTGTGCTTAACGGTTGAACATAATATGGAATTAAACTACTTAACATTATGTATCTGAATAATACATATAGACATATGTTAAACTCGCATGAAGGAAAACAAAAGGGAATGAAATGAAACAGCAGTTAATCTTAGATAATATACCATTGCTTCTCTTGCTGTAAGCCTTTCCTGATGATCATATCGAAGAAGCCTATCTAGAAAATCAATGGCCTGGACATCACGAAAAAAAGGACCAAATAATCACTAGTAAGCAAAAGAAGATGAAGAAGGCAAAAAAAAAATCCAAAAGAAAAATACCTCTGGAGAAACCAGATGCTGATTTCCTGCATTAATAAATCTTGACCATGGCGTCTTATTGTGCCTAAATCAGAATAAAAAAGAAGGAAGAATGTTGTGTGAGTATAGCAGAGACAACTATTTTTTGTTCATTTGACTCCTTGAAGTATTTGTTTATCCACGAAAAGAAGGCGACATCAGAAAAAATAAAAAGATGAGAAATTCTTTTTACTGTATACATTTGGTGATACAACCGCGATGTTTAACATCATCTGACGAAAAGATAGACAAAACGATGCCTTTTCTTTCAACCATAATGATTAATCATTGAATGAGAAGTATACCTTCCAACAAGAGCCTCGAGCTGAGGATCAAGCACAAGGTTATATTTATTCAAATATGCTTTTAATTCTTCTGTTCCAAGAACCTGAAGAAGATTTCATCTACATAAGATAACAAGTTATACGAATATGGACACTCTAATGCTATGATTTCTGACGGTTTGTGAAACCCCAGTGCTGCAAGTATATAACAGTAAATGTATGTCAACTTAAAGACAAAACGGAAAACTCAACAATCTTGAGGCGACTTTTAAATTAGTTTTGGTGAATTGAAGTGCTAAGACATATAGGTTATGGATTGACTATACTAAGATCTTCGAGCCAAGTATGAAACCAAAAATACCTTAGCAATTTTCGCTAGCTGGTCCTGATTGTCACGACCATAGAAGAATTGTTCCTTGCGAAAGATCTGCAAGGAAAGAGAACCCTTTGTTTCCGTCATGATCAACAAAATGTAGCATCTAGAGAAAACCTGAATACACAGTAACAACAGGGAAGCGTAAACCCTCACCATTCCTGCAAACATACATCCAAGGCTCCACAAGTCTAACGAATAGTCATAATCTTGCAAATCCACAAGGAGTTCAGGGCCCTTATAGTGCCTGATAAACAGCATTCAAATTTATAAACTTTATGCAAAGCAAACAGAGAATTCGCACGTTGACAATGTAAGTTGGCATTAAACTAACTATAAACCCTTTTGCCATCAGACACCATCGAATCTGTTGGTAATAAACTTTAGTCTCGCTGCAAGTTGTGTTTGATAACTATTCGAGCAATAACTGCACAAGGCATCATCTTCTTCATAATCCTTGGTTTATCTCAGTCCCTCTGACTATCATTCAAGTTAAAGAAATTATGTCCATGTTTACTCAACTTATGAAAGACTCTTGCCCAGGTTGTCCAAATCTTGGGTTGATCCAACCCAAGTTCTACACTCTTACTTATAGAGGAAACAAAAGAATGAAAAGATATGTCTTTCAAGAATCTAGAAGAAAAGTAAGAATCCAATACCAAAGTTAAACGATCAAAGAGATTCTACCTTGAAGCTACTCGAACATGGTACTCTTTGCCAGGATGGTAGAATTCAGCGAGACCCCAATCAATCAAGCGAAGTTTTCGGAGCTCATGATCGATCATAACATTTTGAGGCTTGACATCTCGATGCATTATGCCCTGCGAATGGCAGTAATCCAATGCCTGCAATTAGGAGACTAGCTTTTGATTAGCTAAGTTTGCAGCAGCTAAACCAGGACAAGTTAGAATCATGACATTCTTTCACACAAATAAAAGACGGATTGCTGCCAGCAAAAGCATGTGTACCGAAGTGGTTAGAAAATTAATTGTTTAGCAAGAGGATCAAATGACAAAACCTTGAGAAGTTCATATATGTAGTAGCGAATGTCATAATCCGTCAGTGTGGGGTACAACACTTTGAAATCTTCACTATTCACATATTCAAAGATCAAGCTAGGAGTTTTTGAATGTTCATCTCTAACAATATCAAGCAGCTTCACAATATTTGTACCACCACAAAGATTCTGCAGTATCTTTATCTCCCTTTTAATCTGCATGAATACCAACAAATGATTGTATCTCAGTTAAATTAGATAAGGAAATACAGAACAAAACAACTTGAGCATAACCACTGGGGAAGAAACCCCCAGCGAAACAAAATGGAAAGATTGAAAATCACTCAAAGGTAAGGCAATGTTTATCCTAAAGTACAAGTTCAACTTAAGAATTCGCGCACCTTCTTTTTCTTGACGGGTTTAAGGATCTTGATAACACATTTTTCATTGTTGGTGACATTCACACCTTCAAAGACCTCACTGTATTTTCCTCTTCCAACCTTCCGAACAACCTCATAGTCATCTTGTGCACTGAGCATATGAAAAACAAACAAGAAATAAGAATTGGGAAATTGCACCTTCGAAATATCATGCTGAAAATTAGTAGAAATAATCTTTAAAATCACTTATCCAAAGAGCATTGCTTTTTAAATCACTAAAAAAGCATTTTCAGACAACCAAAAGTTCTTTTGCGCTCGAATGTCCCAAGCAGGTCCCCGGCATGTGTAATTCTACAACAACTTTCGCTATCAAATGAAGTTCAATGACAGGGAAATTTCAGTAGCAACAATGCAGCAAACATAGAACAAACAACATTTTTATTTTCCCTTTAAATTGGGATTTTTCTCTCAACCTATAATCTAAGAGCCCTAACATTCCTGATTAACATAATCATGTCTAATTAAAGATTAAAAATAATTAATTTAGTGTTAAATTGCAAAAGTTTTTGCAATTAGATTAGATTATTACCCCCATTGAAGAGTGTGAGATTCGTAATCCCAGTAATCTCTTGGGCGTTGAACGTTGACGTCTGTGTAAACGCGAGCCCTGGACATTGCCCTCTCTCTCTCGCCCTCCTTTATTTCATTTGTCATTACGCTCGAAGCTCGATGTTCAGACGGACTGGTTCATCAGCGCGGCAGATGCTTCCCGGGAAGACGTTACCTGTATCCGGACTTCTATTTACCATGGGTTTACTGTAACTTATTTACCACTGGTAATTCATGTTTGACTTTTGGGCCTTTCAAACATGATAAAGTTCACGGCCCTTGAAACCTAGTCCACGTAAAACAGACAGGCAAGAGACAACGTAAGAACAAAATTACCATGACATGGGCTTACTATTCTGAAACCTAACCCACCAATAAAACTTCACCACGAAAATCAACGTCGCAATCAGCGTGACACAGAAAAGGACAACGGCCCAACGGAAAAACCGACATTTGGCGAATACATAATCGCGACGGTTGAGTTAGGTGAACGCCAAAACAAGCGGTTATAGCTGAGGACGTTGAAGAGAAACAAGGCGATCAGAAAATCGTTGATAGGAGGCGCAGGCAGTTGAAGAATCCAAGAAGCTTCTCTCCGAGGGGAGAGAGGTCGGAAATTAAGGTGAGTTAATCAGAAGATAAGGTGATTAGTTGCTTTAATTATAAATTTAATCGTCAGCCTAAGTACGTGGTGAAAATTATCGATACGGTTGATCTGATTAGGATTATTCGTTCAGTCGTCTAATGGCGTGGTGGCGGGAGATGAAGTTCCCGATGCGGAAAATCTGGAGCCGGGTCGCAACCCACCTCGGCATCCACAAATCGGGTTTGTAATTTGGATTTCATTTCATATTCGTTGAGAAAACCTCATTTCTTCTTATAATCGATGTTTTTCGAGGCGTTAGTTAATCAAGAAAGAACAGACGTCAAGCATAAAGAATCTTTGTCTTGCGTAAGTATAATTAATTCGATGATTACGTTTATGGAAATTGAGATTGATTTGAATTTTGAACAGGGCTACCGAAGCTAAGACACGATATAAGAACATGCGAGTACGAGGACGTGCATGTGATGTGGAGGATGCTCAACCCTAACGACAGATCAGAGACCATTCAATTGGGAGGAGGAGGAGAAACGCCCAAGAAGAAACGTTTTTCCAATTTGCTCGATTGGATTAAACGAGCTCCATCCGTTTGCCGTGCCTTCTGATTTCTGATGTGTTTTTGGATCACAAGAAAAATTTCTCTCTTTTTTTTTCTTTTCGTTATGGGTATGTCAATATTCAACCATGTTTCAGCTCACAAATCGTTTTCTGGAAATTATGGTGGAAGTTATATTTTGGTGTCTGTTTCGTCTTCTTCCAATGACGTCAGTGGTCGGCCGCCGGTCTGTGTTTTGTGGATATCAACGGTTCATATATGTACTCTCTCTTCTTGTTATTAAATAAACTTAACTTGATTGTATGTTTGTGTATATTGTGTTGGACTGTTATATTTGTCTACAAGTGTTTAGTGGTACCAATTATCATGCTAGTTGAATGTTGTCATGCATTTATATAAAAGAAGTGCAAAGCAATGAAGGTAACGATTAGCATAATAAGAGCATATTTGAAGGAGACCGGTAGATTGTCTGTAAGATTTTTAAAGTGACGGATTAACTGAAAATGAGAGGATCTTGTTTTAAACAGGTAAATCAAAATAAAAAGGTGAATTTTAGCATAGATTCTTGTGTCATACCGCATGTGTCATGTTAGATGTTCACTTGATACGCACACTTAGGACGTACGCATTTTGGTGGAGGATAATAAAGGAGTCTATCTAGTGTATCTGAAGCAGGCAAATGATGTGCCATGAGCGAGCACCCTAAACTTAAGAATTTCTCCTTATTTAGGCCTAATCCAAGCATAAAATATGGATTGAATTGAAACTAAGCCTCAAAGGATTGTGTTAAACTAAGAGTAGTTCCATTTAGCCACTTAGTATTACGATCTAATGATATTCATCTTCACTTGTAATTGAGAAGTCATAGGTTCGATTCTCACTAAAGGAAAATTTAAATCACATTATTGATCGTCCATTGTAAGGCTAAGTCCACCTCTCTCTCTAAGATAATATCGTCCATTATAAGGTTAAGTCCACCTCTTTCTCTAAGATAATATTGTTGATTCCAAAAAAAAAAAACAAAAAACGCAGTTCCACCTTAAAATTGGCGCCCAAATTGCCAAAGCAATTGTGCAATTACTGCCTAGAAGACCAAAAACTTTGCTTCAGCCCATAGAAACAGTCGGGCAATTACTGGCCCACAGTGCCGGACTACTCAATCCGGCAAGGATTTCTTGTTGAATAAGCCCAATTGAAGGCCTGGTTGGAAATTACTCAAATACCCAATCCATGAAAAATGAGAAAAAATGAAAAATGGAACATCACGTGCCGGTTGGAGGATGAAGCGCCACGTTACAAGGAGGCGGCAGGAATGTTTAAAACGCCGCGTTTTGCGCCTAGTGCTGTATAAATAACAACGTTTAGCAAATGCGAGTCACAAGATTAGGGTTTTAGGTAGCCATCATATCCCGGCAGCTGCAGAGGCGACGCAGAAAACCCTAGCGAGATTCAAAGATGGGACACTCGAACGTATGGAACTCTCACCCCAAGAACTACGGCCCCGGTTCCCGCACTTGGTATGATTCTTCATCCCCAAATCTAACCTATTTTTTTTTAATTATTTTACCGATAATGTGCAATTAATCGCCATTTCCTTGCTCGAGATTTAGCTTATGTAAGAAAATTTACTTCGTAGAAATTATAGATTGGTTATGCCATTGTTTATGGTTACAAATTACCAGAGATTTTGAGTTTGTTTTTGCTTAATCACTCTCAAGAATCCTTTAAGTGTTTTTATGATTTATTTTATTTTTGGGTTTGTAAGTGTATTTGTTGGACAATGTGTGTGATATGGAAAACTTGTTTGTTAATTTGAACAGCCGAGTGTGTGGAAACCCTCATGGGTTGATCCGGAAGTATGCTCTGATGTGCTGCAGGCAGTGCTTCCGCAGCAATGCCAAGGAGATTGGCTTCATCAAGGTATGAATTCAATTTATTTAGTCATTTTTTTTGTTTTTGTTTCTGTTTTGATTGTATAGGGCTTCTGCCTTTGCGGCAGTGCTAGCTGTTTAAATAAGAGTAATCCAAACTACTACAGTATACAGTTAATGAGTCTATGTCTACCTGCATTGGGGTTTTCCTGTACAACTATTGATATATTGTACCTCCTTTTGAAGGGGATTTGCTCCACTGTTCATGGAGCGGGATATGTTATAACATTTATATCTCCGATATAACACGTATATTTGTCATATATCACCTACAGGTTTTTAGGTTCACATTTTGAATTACACGTGGATAAAACATATGTAGTGTACGTGTGGTGTATGTGTGAGTAATTACATGTATCGCTTGATTAACTGTGGAGCAGAATACTTGCTAAACAGCTAGTAATAGACACACACACACACATATGTACATATACATATAGTGGTATATTGCATGTGTGGAGTTTAGACACTAAATCCAAATCATGGAGTCCATGTCAAAGATCTCTAGGTCCAAGAAAATCAGTTTTGAGTTGATTGAGATGTGATCATCCATAACCCGACAATCCTCCCAGTAGTATTCCTGTTCTCCTGCTTTTGCATTATGTTTGATTATATGATTGTCAAGTTCTACCATATATATCCTAAGCACCGTACAATAAAAAAAAGATTTGGGTTCAGACAAGGTTTTTGGTGTCATTAAATCTTTGACGCGTTTTGTGTGTATTCTATTATAGAAATCCAATTTTATGTAAAACATAAGTCCCTGGATGATATTTTCTTCAATGGATGTTAATACATATGCACTATGAATGTGGTAACTGTTACTTATCACAAATACACACATTTTTGTTTCTTAATATTACGTTAGTTTTTTAAGTGCTTATGGACGGTCTTGTGCTGATTAGATTTTCCTCCATTAGCACACAACAAATTCATAAGCTACAGTTATTGTTGCCACCTTGTCTTTCAAGTTATTCCTTATTATTGCAAGGAAAAGCTATCCACTCTTTGGCAAACATTTCACATTACTCAAACACTGTCTTTTTTCCGATTAAATATTTCATTACTAGGATGGTAGTCTGAGCTACCCCTGCTTTCCCTTTGACTAGACATGAGGGTATGCATGGTGCGTTGAACATACTTTTATGTCCACATATGCATCCCTGGATGAAAGTACTTCTGTATTTCTTCTATAGATGCATGTTTGAAAAGACTCATGTTGTACTTATGGATAGTGTCATTATTTGAGTGAGTATATACGTGATTGAGGCATGGGAAAGTGCTCTGCATGAGTTTTTTTTTTAATTTAATTTAATTTTATAGATTTATGTGCTGATTGACGATCTCGTGCAGATTGGTTCTCCATCAGCAAATCATAAGCTACATCTACGTGTGCCAACTTGTCTTTTTAGCTGTTCTTTAAGCGAATGTTTTGTTGATTCAATATGTTAAGCATGTATCAGATCTTCATGCATGTGCTTATTGACGGTCTTGTGCTGATTAGTTGTTCCCATCAGCACATAACATTATCATAAGCTACATTCACTTGTGTCAACTATTTTAGTTTTTCCTTATGGTACATAGGAAACGCTTTCCTTGCTTTGACAGACATTTTCATAACTTTAAAAACATGTTCCGTCTGCTTTCCAGTATCACTCTTGAATATTATGGCTTTCTCGTATCACCCTATACTTTCACGTTGTCAGCTGTTTTGTTTTTGTGTCTTGCTGACCTTGTTCAATGGAATAGGTTATTTTTGTCAAAATTTCCCTGGTGCGTTCTGTTTGTTGATCTTTTGAAATTATTTCACTTGGGTTTTGTTGATGCTGATGTGATTTGAGGTCTTATTACGGAATGTTGTAAATCAAGCTGTGATCTTACAACTATCAATGATGACTAAATATAAGGCTTGTTTCTCAAGAACATTCGCAGTGGCCGCCTAAGAGCTTTCGCCTTTTGTGAGGCTTGAGAGCTAATGCTGCTTTATCTTCCTTGGATGTCTGAGATTTGGATAATTAGGATTATCCATCCTTCTATACAGCTACCTTACTTGTTATAAATTTGTGTATGTGTGTCCGTGTCTTGAATTTGGACGCGTACTTATGCTGTGTTGTATCTTCATTGCAGTACCGCTAATTGGAGAGACCACCCGATTCAGATCGGCCATCAAGTCGTCTGAAGTATGGAGCGTGGGATTGTTTTCATTGTTGCTGTTCCTTTTCATTTTCTTATATAAGACCATAATGTAGTATAAAGTTTGACAGTTAGTTGTTGACGGAGCCATTGTTGAAACTATTTGATGCATTTGAATTTTGTTATCCAGTGGGTTGGAGTGGTTTTATCCCTTTAGATTTGATGGTAATAGAATAGCGAATGATAAATGTTGGTTTGAGTCCATACTCTGTTGTCTCATTTTCTTGGTGAAGAATTTAAAACAAGATGTGTAATGTGCAAGGTTACGCCCATACGATGGTCAATTCATGGTGATGATGGGCGTCCGCACATCATCTTTGATTAATCAAAAGATGTATTAATGTGGTATTTCGTTAGGGGTCAATGCAGTGCTTCGACGGTAATGATGACGATCAACATTTAGCCATCTATTTGTTTGTCTTAGATTTGACTATTGTAAATAGCGAGTTTGTAACTATTTATTATCAACGTTCATTATGATTTAGCTCGAATGTCTCGCTGCCTAAATATATCATTATAATGAAATAACATTAAAAAATCGATTAACATTAGGAGTGAGCAATGTTTGGCTTTCTTATTAGAAGCACAAAACCTAATCTAATAGAAAAAAAAAAAAAAAAAAAAAAAAAAAAAAAGGAAAAGATGGAGGTGCGGGGAATCGAACCCCGTGCCTCTCGCATGCGAAGCGAGCGCTCTACCATATGAGCTACACCCCCTTGTTGCTAACCTTTCATTACCAAATGTATCACAAGTATATAATTGTTTTTAAGGGTTATTTTTAAGAAAAACTAACTAAAAAAAACTTTTATTTTAATGAAAAGTTACTTTTAAAAGTATAATGAATAGTATCACAAAAATGTATAAATATAATTTTTCGTTAAAAATAAACCGTAATTCTTTTTTTTTACCGTGTAAATGGCGCTCTGCCAAATGCGGCAGACGTGCCCAAAAAGCTCACCTTCCACGGCAACCCTATGAACACTGAAGCCTTTTCATTCCCCCACCCGACACTGTTTCCTTTCGCTTTCTGCAAACACAGTAAATGAAGCTCTTAAATGCTCTGCTACCTCTCCTCCTGCATGTATTACAAAAGAAAACGCAGTAAATGACACCCACATGCTTTCTTTTATCACTCACTCACCACCACGAAACAACCCCCAAATAAAAAAAGCAATAAAATTTTGTACAAAAAGCAAGCATGGGTTCTTCTTCTTAGCCCCGGAATTCCTGGTAGTGGACTTCGTTCTCCTCTTAAAATCTTTGGCGTGACGGAAGGCCGGTTCGGTGAGTGCGATTCTCTTTCCAGCTGGGAAGGGACTCCGCTGCTGCCAAATTTCTCATGCGTTGATTTTACTTGCTTTAAAAGCCTAGGGTGTCTTCTGGAGGAGATTGTGATTTGGGTTTTTTGGTGTGATTTTGGTGCTGTTTCTTTACAGTTTACACTATGAAGTCTTCTGGAATTTGGGTTTTGCCTTTTGTGCTCGCAACAGTTTTAGTCTTCTTCCTCGGTGTCTCTAGCAGCAGAAATAGCTCCTTATTTCCTGGTAAGGTTTTAATCTTTCTTTGTTTCCCTTGATTTGTCTGGTTTTTTATGGGGTTGAATTTGCTTATTCTTTTAACGAAAGTGGCTTTTGGCTTTTGCAATTTAGTTGGTTTACTCACTCATTGGAGGTTGTAACTTGTGTATGCATGCATCAGTAATCTTGCTTATCTTGAATCAAACTACAATCTCCTTGATGTTGTTACAGATAGTATCTTCAACCACCATGCTGATGGACCAAAAATGATTGTTAGAAACAGAAAGCTCAAGGTACATGCACAAACTTTTTGATTTTTAATAAAAAGAAAGCACGTACCGCCCTCAATTCGAAAGTCAAATAGAAGAAACTTACGTGCAACGAGTATATCATTGTGTAATGTGTTCACAATAACATCCCCGTTGCACGGAAGTCCTCATGTCAAACACTATTCACAAGCTAGCTCAGAGGCCAACATTTGTCAAAATTACAAATTGTTGCCCGTTTAATCATCTTACTAGTACGATTTCTTCGTGATGTTGGGATTTGTCTTTGTTTCTGAAAGTACAGGAGAGTGGTACTGCTGGCAATGTGAATCTGGATGACTATCAACCCATTGATCCTTCTCCGAGTTCGAAAGCTTCCATCAAACCTGGTCCAATCGAGCACGGCGCACCTATAATCCCGTACATTCCAAAGCCTTCGCCTCCTGCTCGTCCCAATCCCGGCGGTACTCCTTAGCCAGCTTTAGACCTGCTCCCTTAATTACTAGAATCTTGATGTTAATTGCAACTGGGTAGTTGTTTTAACAACCTTCCATGCATATTATGTGTACAACGCTCATGCACTTTTCAGACTACTTGTGTTTCTTGTAACAACAATAATTGCCCGCTTATTCTTATGCAAGTCGACCACTTTGTGGGGTTTGATTTCTTTAATCTTATCTCTGAACTACACATAAAAATGCACACTTCAACTGAGCCTTGGCTAGACCAATGTGTCTTTCACTTTGCGTTTAAGTTAGAATCACTCTACTCTCCGTAGTTTAGATGAATTTAGGAGTCGTTTGATAACCATTTCGTTTTCAGCTTTTACTTTTTTTGTGTATAACTAAAAATAGAAATCTTGTTTGATAACTACTTTCAATTTTGCAAAAAATGAAAACTAAAATAAAAAATGTGAAAGCTCAAGGCTAAATTATGAAAATTCAAGAAAACAGTTTTTAGTAACCAAACAAAATTTCAGTTTTAAATAAGGTGAAAATAAAAAATAAAAACGAAATGATTATCAAATGACAATTTAGAATGTCGGTTGTATCAAAATGAACGACATATAAAAAAGAGTTATTCGTTCGAGCAACCTAGAGCTTGCAAACTTGACTTGAGTTTGTTGCAATTTTATACATAGGAACATGCTTTAGAGCCCAACTTTTTTTAACGATTTCACATTCCTAAAACTTTTATTTACAATTTTGTATAATATGAGTGGGGCTGGTTGAGTAAAGTGTGATAGTTATTTAAGAACTCAAGATCAAGGTCTTCTTGGAAAAGGGTTGACATTATCATAATATCATTTTAATTTACGGTTAGCAAAACCGGAGAATCTTAGTTATAGCCTTTTATCCAGTTGTATATTTCTTTGTATTTATCATTGTAAACGGTTGTATATTTCGTTTTATTTATCTTTCTTGTCAAATTTTATCTTAAATGATACATATTATGTAATTATCGTTCTTATCACGTAATAAGCACAAACAAATAGACAAAGGTTGCAAGGAAAATTCTCTTAATTGAAAATAGAATACACATAGGGGCCCCCGACCTTTTCTCTCAAGCTTTTTGAGGGTCCGTCTGTACTTTTCTCTTTTTTTTCTGTGGGGTTTGAACTCATATTTTCTTCCTGCCTTTCACTTTTCTCTGATTGAATTAACAGAGTGATTAGTACTTGTAATGATAATTAGGGTCATTAATTATCTAATGATAAGAATTAGGCTGAAAATTTAAACATAATTTGGGTGAGAATTATGTGTGTGTTAAATTGGCAGGCACGTTGCCAAAAATATTGAGGTCATAGTAATAACAGTTAGGCAAAAGAATCCTCAGCCATTTCTGTCCCTGCTGCCACACTTTTTTTTATGGCTTTGGGAGTGGAAAGATTAAAGATAGAAGCATCCTCTTGATTAAAGCTAAGGGGACCATGAAAAATTATCACTTTGTGTGTATGTAACTCAAGTTTTGGAAGGAAGGTTTACCTAACCTAATCACATTTAATTACTTTAATCAATTATATGATGTGGATTAGGTAGTAGTTCCCAAGTCATTTTGCTTTCCATCTGCGAAAACTGTCGTTCATCGACGATATCGTACTTCGTTAATCCGCCTATGGTAGGTTTCTGATGTTATGTTGCATAAATTTGTATGTACGGTATCATATGGTAGGTGCATCTCCAAAATAATGGCAGTGTTTGGTTAACCATTGATTTTAGGTCTCTTTAAATGAGGATTTGTTCCTTCTAAATGGTTTCTTTGTTTTTCCTTTGTGCGACTGAATTGTGGGTCAAGATTAGGAGGTTTTTTCTACGTTAGTTGCTAGTTGTTTGTGACAGATTCCTTTAATCGAGAAGGACTTATATATAATGAATTCATCTTTATGTGTTTAATAATACATTGTCAAGTGCAAGTTTCTCTGTGGATCGTGATGTATTACTAGATTAAAACACTACGTGATAATGAATTTGTTCCATGTAAGTTCAAAAACGAGAAAACAGTTGTGTCATGTCATCATGCTGATAATGAAAGAATTGGCATCAATCCGTCATAAATTTGCACCCCTTAATCATTTTTAGATACTTGATAAAAGTTATTCAATCACTGTCCACATTGATGACATAAATAAAAAACAATCTTGCAAATATGAAATTAAATATCAAATGTACCACCATCTTTTGTCCTAAATCCCCTTTTTACGTTATGATAGAGGCTCCAGCAGGTGCCAGATTGTAGTCCATATAATGCCACTTTACAATATCAACACACCTGGATAATGTGACCTGTCATATATGGTTCGTCCTTTAACCAAATCCACAGAACAATACAGTGAATCCGTTTGGTAGGCTGAATGAAATTGAACTTTAGGAATAAAATTAGATTAGTAGAGACTTGAAAGATAATACTTGTAATTCATATATAAGGATAGATTAGATCTCTCTTTTTATTATAGATTCATAACTCATTATGTCTAGTCTTATCTATCTCATATTTTGACACAACAAATAAGGAACTGAACTCAAACTCAAATGCATTTTATTTGTTCACAACAGATTCCAACCAAGCACGACAAACATGCAATTAACTAGTAGACCAATCTTGAAATATATTCCAGCCTGAATAGAAGTCCATTGAATATCGTGCTTACTCAAAAAAAAAAAAAAAAAAAAAAGTAGAAGTCCAAAAAATGAATAATTGTGGCTCTTTTTTTATCTGTTCGGCTTTGCGCATTCTTAAAGTTAAAGGCAAATGCGTTTAGAACATTTTACTTCTAATCAATTTTCTTCAACTTTGATCTCATTTAATAACATGATTAATTGTTTTAGGTTGTCATTTAGAGCATAGGGGTTCAGTCTCGAATTAGTTAATCATTTTGATTTTCCAAATGATGATTTTCTCCCAAAATTTGGTGCTCGAGTGAGGTTTTATCAATGTATCACCTATCTTTCGATGTCATGTTTAGCGAATCTCTTAAATGTAATCAATTTGTCTAAATTGCTTCTACACAACCATCATGTGATCAAATCACGCTATTAGTGTTATATAAAACAACAAAATATACACTCGGGTGCATGTAAGTCTCTCTTATCTGTTTGTGCAACTCGCTTGGAGAGAAGTGGGACCCTCAAAAGGCATAGGCACAAAAAGCAAAGTGGAGGAAAGATAGAGGCAGAGGGGACGGAGCAGCCTAGAAAAGATGCCTTTTTTTCTTCTCAAAGATGGTCGACGATAACCATAAATCATGTAGTGTTTAGCCCACTTTATGTTAAGAAAGTGGGGATGGCCTTAAAGAACAGTGATTTGATGTCGATTAGGCAACAAAACAGTAATCATGGATGGTCCTTAAGCAACAAAACAACATGGAATGGAGGGCACCCGATTTAGCTTTTGTTTCTTCATCGAATTTAGGCAGGTATTTATTTCCTCTCCTCTCTAAATAAATGCATGGCTTCCCACAACTACTTGCTCATCATTCTACCTGTACATTTATTTTGTTTTGCATTTTTAGTTTCTCCCTACACTTAAAACTGCACGAAACATCCTATCAAACGTAAAAGACATTAAAGGAAAATTATATGAATTTGGAAGAAAACTTATCAACAGTTGTGATATCACGATGGCATCTCTCTTATAAATTACGAATTTTCACCTGTTTTGACTATTTCACTCGAATACGTTATTAGCTTGGAATACAACCACGAGAAGTGGTCCTTAATCCTTAATCATGTTTTTATGCATGCCTCACATATGTATATATATTGCATATATGTGTGGTCTCAACATTTGGTCTCTTTTACCAAAAAATCCAAACACATACATAGAGTGTTGGAGAAGGGATTATAAAAGGAGGAAAAAGGAAAGGGTGATAGATCTAGTTCCTTGGACAAAGGAGAGAGGTCAATTGAAAATAGCAGTTACTGGAATTTACACCAGTGAAATGCAGTAACTTCTAAATTAGGTATAAAAGTGGAAGTGAAGTCCAAGTTTAAATAAGATGCAATTCTGGGAGAAAAAGCAAGGTAGGTCTTGTAAGATACCTCCCTCTTCCTTTTTAAGTATGCCTTGGCTGTGTAAATTAAGGTTTTAATAATTTAATTAACCAAAAATAGCATATTAACTTTGTTAATTAATCAAGTAACATCCTGGGGATTATATAAAAAGTTGGTTGCAGCTGACTTGTTTGTTTTAAAAGTAGAAGTCTTTATGCTTAACTCCTTTGTATCATTAACATATGAATGATTTCGTCATATGTTATCCTAAAGAGTAATGCTAGGAAGACCATCTATTTAAACTATATTTTGTAAATTATATGACGTGGTTATTAATAATTAGATTATTATTTAAGTGTTGATTAACGTTCTTAATTTTTATTCGTGACACATTACATGATTTGCAAATATGGTCTAAAAAATTGATCTGTCTAGCATTACTCTTTAAGAATAATGATTGATAATCATGTCACTAAACGATAGATACAGGTGCGGGTACAATCGAGGAATAGTTAAGATTCTAATAAGAAAGGGAGTCGGTTTGCTTTAATATCATTGCATTAAAAAGGTAAGATTTAGAATTACTTAAGATTGACATAAAGAAAAGAGAAAGATTAACTTAAAGAAAGTGGATTTACTAAGCATGAAGGAATGTGATTCTCCTTTTCACTTTTGTATGATTCAAAGTTAGCTAAGCCACCCAATAATCATACTAGAAAACCAATTACTACATATTGGTAACCTTCTTCTTCCATAATTTCATTATATATAACCTAGCAAAAGGTGAATCATTCTAGTGGATAAAACTTTTTTCTATTTCAATTCACTATAATTTGAGTTCAAAACTCCCGGATTAAAACTCTACCTCTATCAAAAGTTTAATTTAGAGTAGTAATATCAATTCGTGTGTGTGTGTGTATATATATATATAACTGTTATTATCACTCCAAAAATCTCATTCTACATTCCTTACAAGTGTAATTTTTTTTACTCATTATAAAAAGTTTGGAGTGAAAAATAGAAAAAATGGAGCAAGCGTAGGTAACACCCACCTAGAAACCAATAAAACTTTAATGAGTGGCAAAGTTTTGGGAAATTAATTCGTTTTAACAAAGAAAGGAGAAAAGAAGATGTCAAATTAAATCAAATCAATAATTTTCTTATCGTCATAAATTATTTTCT